AAGAGCGTGAACAACATCCCATAGAAGAAAGAGTGGATTACACGATGGGAGGAACTGCAGTAGCCTTGGGCCCACCAGGCAAAAAGGTGGTATGGCACGATAACTGTGGCACAGAACATGCACAGCCAAGTACAGAAGACGACTGGGAACTTTCCAAAAACATACACCAAGAGATCAAATCCTAGGACCAGCCTAGGAAACACAAGGAAAGAGACAATGTTCAGTGAGCACCGTTTCATAAGAAATACTTTTACCCTACTAAGCAGCTACAAAATGCAAAGCTTTCAGATCACCATGTCTGATGGTCTAGACAGAAGTGACTGTGGGAATTTTCAGCTCAGAAGCAGAGAGCTGTCTGTGGCAGATTTAAGTGACCACCTACAAGCACATCAGGAAAGAAGAGATAAAGGACTCATGCCATCAATGCTGTCAGGAAGAGCTTACCTTCAAATCCCACAGAGCTTAAACACATCTTTAAGATCAGCATGTGCTTTAAGAGTATGCTCAAGCTCATCCTGCTAAGAACAACCATGTGACAAAACGATCCACTGCTGAAACCAGGGTCCAAAAGAGCTTTTGGGGAACGCTCCCAAGACATCATCACTATTACATTAAGAATCAGTTCTTCCCAGAAGCTTCACACTAAAGAGGCTTTTTCCCCACCTCTACTGGTGCGAAGCATTTTAATATCTAGCACTCAAGCCTAATTTAATTCTGCTGTGTGAAAACTGTAGGCATGCCACAGTTTAGAAGTCAGTCAAAACACTTAGGGTTATTAGATGGTCAGAACAAGTATGTCCAACTGGTGTGCACCAGGTACATTAACCAAGGTTCATTGACCAAGCTTAAAACATTAAAGACAAAAAAGAAAAGAGAAAAAAGATGTTCAACCTTACTGACTATCACAGTCACCAGAGCTTACTCCCATGTGTAAGCAGCTCTTTTAAACTAAGGTATTGGGAGAAGGTAGTAGAGAATATACCAGCATAATTTATTTGTTCTCATGTGGAGGCTCAATTGCAAACTGGATCCAAATTATCAGATCTAGCTGAGATGAGAGCAATATTTTTTTTAATATATATATTTAATTGGAGAATCCAGCCCTATAAGTTGATTTTAAGAGGGAAATGCCTATTCTCCCTCCATATGCTATTAAGTTAGGATCAGCTAAACAATATTCAATATTGCATGAGCCTGTTCATATACCTAGACAAGAGGGACAGTGATTATCATCAAGAAACAGCTCTAGTTCTGTACACTGAAGAGCAGATAATCAGCAAGATAAACACGTAATCCACTTGTGTACATGGTATACAGCTTGCCAAAAAGATGCTATTTAAAGCAACAAGTGTCAGGAAATCAGACTTTCACAATCTTGTCCACAACTGCCACAACCTGCAAAGCACAATCTTAACAGAGGCTGTGCCAATAGCCTTCGGATTTTTTTCCCCAGGAAAAACAAGAAGTTCTATTTTTATTTAAGCACAAGTACAATGTTCCAGAACTGTCATTTTTAAACAGAGGAAGGACTGCTGAAGTATTTAAGTTTTTTTTAAACACAGTCCTCCTTCAAGAAGCTGAAAGCTACCATTTCATTAAAGATATTCAACTAAAGTAGTCCATATTTAATGACACCTCCCTCTTGCCAGCCTTGTGATGACTAAGCATGTTAGGACCAACTGTGCTGGCCACAATTCTCACAGAATACACCAATCTATAGGATTTTCCTAATATCTAGCTATGCTATTTGAAATGACTGTATCCCTTCAATTGGGATTCCAGTGTATGTGGCAAGTTGAAAACCCTCTTTCCAGCAACATCCCAAGGAAGGATTCCCTGCTGCTTTCTGCACCACTTTGCAGTTTCATGTACCTCTGGTGTTTTGGAAGCCAGCATTTCCCAGCCCTGGTCCCTGTCTTTCCAAAGCATTCTTACCTTCCTTCATCAATGAAGTCTACTAACAGCGTGCTGAGGATGAAGACAATGAGAAGAGCGATGAACATGTGGTAGATCGTCCTGATGTGACTCACTTCAAACAGCTCACTAAAGGAGAGATTCAAATGCTGTCAGGCCACTCTTACAGCACATCACACCTCCAGTACGTTAGCTTTCCAAGTGTTGCACAGTAAGGTGACATCACTGCCATCGCAATTCAAAAGACTGAAGTTAATGCACAATTTGGGTGTCAGTTTACACAGACACTTCTTTGGTTTATCCTCAAAGGCTAGTTAGCCATTACTGTAGTGGTACTGAGAGGACTGTAATTAAGGTTTACATTTGGGAAGCCTGCAAGCTGTAGAAGAGGTGTTTTAGAAAGAAACAGAGAAGTTTAAACAGATTAGTCCACAGGGGTTTACACATAAGACTGCAGGTGGTGGTGGAGAGAGTATCTCAAAGCAAGGCTAGTTAGTCTCCTACTAAGGTTATTTTCAGTCAATTTAATCGCAAATATGAAGTTAAGTTACTCACTCCAAGAGGGACCGCCTGGCAGTAAAGATCTTCCCATGCTCTGGAGGGGCCCTCAAAGTCCTGGAAATAAAGAGAGGAACGTTTGAGACAAGAAAGGAAATCAGACTTCCAGGAAATAAAACCTTGTTATAGGAACAGCTTAAAACTGACTTACTTGGCTTTGTGCAGTTCCTTCTCTGTGCAGGAAGCTGGGAAGAGGGAAGCTGAAGATGAGGAGTCCAGGAGTGCTGATTTTGCTACCAAGGTGTTCACAAACTCTGTGAAGTGACTGTCCACTTCCTTCATGAAAGCTGGCTTCAATTGCTGATGGAGTAAAAGAATAGGTTTTTTTTCAACTCTGCATACATTTTAATAAAATATTTATATTCTTTTTTTATCCCAGAGCAGGGCAGAGCAAGGCATCAAGAAAACATTCCTGTACTATCTGCCAACAGTTAGCACTAACATGGACAAGATCAGGGGCTTATCGCGGCCTGTTCACACACTCAGGCCAGAGGACTACGAATAACCCTTATCTTCTCTATCAGATGCAACACAGAGGAGCAAAGTAAACTATTGATCTTCAAATATATGTCTGGAGTGACAGATATTTCACATATTTTATGGTGCCAAGAAGGTTGAGGTAAACTTAATACATGAGCCCCAGAAAGCATTTCTCAAGCTGAACCAGAGTTACATCCTTAGCATACAAAAAAAGTACAAGATTTACTTTGTAGCCCATTTAGTTTTACTGAGGGGAAAAATGGACTTTTTCACGCTTGTGTCTAAGCAACCGTCACTGATGTTCTCATGCATTAACACAAAATCATCTCAATTACATGAGTGAATGAAGGACCAAATTTACCCTTCCACTGCTACCGCTGTTTGGATGAAAACTTTCATGTACCACTGAAATTAGAGGATGGACAGAAAATTTTCACTGCAGCAACAGACAGGGTAACATTGCTAAGCATTAAGACTAAGCAGTGAGAGAAACAAAACTGGTAGTCAGCAAGACTGAAGTTCAAGAATTCAGGGGATCAAATATCCTAGTTGGATCTCCTACACTTCCTTTTCTTTAGACAGCTTTATACAGGCTACCCTCTCCATTACAGCCAGTTGTGACAAAGTTATACCATATTTAGCCTACTCATATTTTTTCCCCGCTCTCATTTTAATAGACAAAGGCAAATTCATAATCATCTGGTTTACAAGAGACTCTGACTTCTAAGGGTGCATGAAAAACCATAGATGAGCACCCCCCTCTCTACCTTTATTTTAGAAATACGCAATGATACTGTGCAAAAGGAGGAGATAATCAGCTGTGGACAAAGCATAGGCCACTCTGGTTAAAGACTGCTTGCTTGACCTGATAAAAGAGCTGCTTTTCTAGAAAGGAAAACATTACTTAGCTCTCCCAATAATAAGTTATTCAGACAAGGGCTATAATTCATCTTCAAAGGACAGACTGTAAAATGCTAAGATGCTTTCATAACCCTTTTGTCTTGCCGAAAGACTGACATATGTAATTTATTCCTGTATTTTCCTGTCTGCAATATATTTGGATCTGCCATTCAGTGTCATAACAAACTTTCAAAGACCTGATCTCCTATACCTCAGGCAGAGTTTTTAAAACTAGATGCATTTAGAAGAAACTTAATGAGAACATGTTCAAAGCTACTTATTTTTGCCAGAAGTGCTACACTGAGCTCTGGATAGTCTTTTGTTGTGGTGCAAATCTCTTACTCTTTATGTGCAGAGGGTCCCAAGGTTTGCACAGTGGCATAAGTGTTATTCTTACGACTAGAAAATAAGCAGGCAAAATAAATTCCCTCAAGGGAGGAACAGGCAACACGTGTTCACTGCATTTCAGTGCAAAGTTTGGGTATCGTAAAGATCCTAAGACCTCTGGCACTTCAGAAGACAGTAATTCTTAAGACGTCTGGGAATTCAGTTCCTTAATGTCGAGTTCGCAGACACCAAATGGTCTTTCCAATACTTTGGCCCAGTGATGAAGCACGGCTGAAAGTAACCTCCGAGCTCCTGAACCATAAGCCTTTCAAGCACTCTCTGCCAGAGAGTCATCATCTTCAGCACAGGGGACAGGCAAGTTTCAAGAAATTAGTTCAAGTCTAATTGCATACTGTGTTTTGGTTTCTTATGCAAGTGTCTATGGGCAACATTTGTCTGACTACTCTTGTGCCTGGGATTTGTCAAGTTTGCCTCCACATTCAAGGCCCAAGTCTTCCTACACGATAACTACGTATTATTTCATCCAGTCTTCCTACTGATCAGCTGTTTAAGAAACATGTATGTTTCCCTGATCACCTTCAGAATTCCCAATGGCTACCTCCTTTCTAATCTTTTAGGTTGTACAGTAACAAAAGTGAGAAATCCATTTTCAAGGAGGGAAAGAAAGAGCCTGGAAGTAGCACACGAAAACGATGCTTCCTCAAAAAGGCATTTGTGGCACTTGAGTTCATTTGTTAGGTATTTATGTTTCATGCCTAACTATTATGCTAAAGAAAACTGGAGCAACATTGTATTTGGTAAAAAGGAACAGGCACAACATCTAAGAAAAGAAGGAAAAGCCAGATAAGTGAAACAGGAACTATTAGCTTTGAGTTGCAGCAGGGATATGTTTGCCTCTTACGCAGACCTCTTACCACATCTATGTTTTAAGGAGTCTATTTCTACTGATGGACACTTGTCACCTATGATGTAGCCCTCATTTTCCAAGCACGCTTAGATTGATTTTATACAGTAGATTACCCAGAAAATTAAGCTAAGAAGCCCTATCTAGAAGCAAAACTTGTAGGCTAACAAAATATGTTAATAGATAATGTATTCTTACAAAATACTACTGTCTACTGTGACAACAGCCAGGTAAGCAAGTTTAACTCTCTGGCAGAAAATACAAAACATTCTGAAGTGAGACCATGTAAAACCAGAAGACCTTGAAGTCAAGATGCACCAGAACTCTACATTTCTCTTGTTTCATAATGGTCAGAGGTATCTCTTGAAACAGAATTTGCAGAAGTGGTAGAAGGTTAATATTTAACTCAATAAAAACATTTTTCCCCTATTTGGCAGTTGCCAGTATAGAATAAACAAGCTTCACCACTGCTTAATGAAACAGAAGCTCTTAGGAGCTGACTACTCTTAGATACTGCTTTTCTGAAAGGCAGAGAAGAGGATTGTCTCTGCAAGAGATGTGGATTTGTTCCTTTAAAAACAAGAGAAAAAAAAAAACCCCAGCCATTGAGTACTTTGAAACTACAGCCTGTAACAGAAGATCCTGGCACAGCCTGCTTTTACAGCATGCACATACATATCCCTACCAAAAAAGTCAAGTAGAAATTCCTGCATCTCTTGGAGTGCTCAAATTTCCATGCCAAACAAAGCACTTAATTGCTACCAAAACCCTGTCTTTTTTTTTTATAAAAGTATCTCCCCTTTTTTATGCCTAATGTTCTCTCAGCAAGAGTTTAACAAAACTCCTTAAACTGCCTTTTCCCTTTAGCTAGTAGTCTGCTGAGATTGCCTCCTCCCAGTATAACCCTCCAGGCCTGATATCAACATATGCATGTGTCTGAATTGGGAGAGAAACGCACAAGTTCTCTTTAGATTAAATAGAATACAATCAGAGCATAAACCATACAGTAATTGTAATTCTGTACAACAAAACTGCACAACATATCATGTAATACGCAGGTGTAAATTAAAACATTTTAATGATTGAAATAAATTAAACATAATAATAATAATAACAACAACAACAACAACAATAACAATAATAGTAATAATAATAGGAACAGTGATAAAAAACCACAAACTCATATAGCAATTTCTGGCTGTGTGCTCCCAGTGGTGAATATTAGATAAGATAAACACTGAGCATAACAGCTCCAGTGAAAGCAAGGTGGTACCTTAGGAGGCCTTGGGAGAGGAATGACAGGCAAAACCCTCCAGGGGTGAAGATCATCAAGGAAAGAGAGAGCATCCCCAGTAAACTCCCCAATTTATAGTGAGTGTGACATTTATGGTATGCAGTAATTCTGTTGGACAGCTGCCCTGAAAGCCCCTGACATTCACTCCCCTCAGCATCAGCACATGGCTATCTCTAAACTGCTAAAGGCCTTGATCACTGCATACCAGTGTCAGCTGAAAACTAAAACACTGTCTTATTGCATTTGTTTCCACTAAATCCAGTATGGTAGTTTTTGCAGAAATACAGCATTTCTGGATAGAAAGCTGATTCTACCCCAGCAAAACCAGGACAAACTCAAAGGGTGATCTACTTCAGGAACTGCCAGAGTAACTGTTAGTGCTCAATACAAGTGCAGTCTAGCCACTCACCAAAGAAATGATACTTAAGAGAATACAACTCCCACAAGCCTTCACTATGACAGGGCACAGATACACAGATGGCCTGGTTGTAGCTTCCCCCAGAGGTCACTTAGTCAAGCACTTCCTAAAATATCCTTGAAGTCTCAGACAAGGAACTGGGCAGGTCACTCAGCTGTTACCATGAAGTTGTAAACAAAAGAAGAATCATTTAAAACAAAGACAAAAAACCCCAAAGAAAGACAAAAACACAAAAAGGGGGGCAAGTATGAAAAGAATGCTATTCCAGTCAGCCAGTAATTGATGAGAAGCCAGAGAAAGTTGAGGGAAGTTACAGTGTTACTTCCCTCAACTTTCTCTGGCTTCTCATCAATTACTGAGAAGCCAGAGAAAGTTGAGGGAAGTAACCCTGTAACTTACTTAAAGCTGCAAGAATTCCCCAGGATTTTCCTCATCTTAACAGATTTAGTAATTGCAGTCACTGAAACACGACAACATCCAGCCCTGACCAAGTGACAACACACTACTCTCAACTTAGTTTAGGATGAACAAATTACTAGATTTTCAGACTGAACTGCAGATGCATAACATCTAACACCTACAAATCCCATTTAAATCAGTAGGATCTGTCAGTGACAAGCACCTTTCAGAAGTCAAGCATCTGTCTAGACCTCAGATACCTATCACCTAAACAGTAAACTGCCATCCAAGCCTTTGTTCAGTGGTTCACAGAATGAAAGGGCCAGGCACTCCAGGACTCTCAGGAATTTTGCAGTAGATGGGAGGTTTTTACTTGGCCTTATAGCTATTATTAGATCTTTGAGGCACGTTAAACAAATTTCCAGTCTGCTTAACTTAGGGTTTAAAACCTGCTGGTTTTCTTCGATTTTCTTTGTGGATAAGAAATCACTCAGTCTACAAACTAGCATGTCTCAAAGCTGGTGGCCAGGAAAGATGAGAAACAAGAGACATTTCTGAAGAAAGAAATCCAAGATCAAGCTGTCCCCTTGCAACCACGTAGCTTTCCCTGGAACTCACAAAGCTACACGTGCCTAACAGTCAATTTTCTCATGCAAGCATCTGTTGCCAACATAGTGATTTGCAGTGACTGTTTTGTCTGCAGAGGCTTGCTCTATCACGTCCTCACTAAGAATCGTTCAGAGAAAACAACATATGAAATAAAATGCAGAGCTGACTATCCCTCTAATGGGCTGAATTTCAGGAGTTTTGGCACAAAAAGTACACCCTTTGCAGAAGACATTTCAATATACTTCAGTTATATCTGTTATAAATTACACATTGCCTACAGACGTGGAAAAGAGACTTTTAAAAAGGATAATATATCAAAGGTGCAAGATATTTTTCTCTTTCTTACAAGCGTACACACCCTAATATTCACATAAGGGTGGCACAATTAGATGACTTCATCTTTACCATGGAATTATCTGCAATAAAATGAAGCAAGAGTGCAGGACGATTCGCCCTGCAAGCTACAAAACAATGGTTAACAAGGAAGGTGCAGTTCGTTGTCAGCCAACTTCATTTAATTTGGGCATAAATCACCTTAACATAAGCCAAGACAATGGCAGCTCGCACAGAGCGCAGATGACATTACAAACACCCAGCACTTTTTTTCTTTGAGGATATCACCCACTGGCAAAAAGAGTGGGACCAAGGCTTCAGGAAGGTCACGCCCACAACCAGGGCAACAGAGGCTGTGGGATACCAGTCACATGCTATCCTTTATTCAATGGATAGCAGGACACAGAGCATTTTAAAGACTAAATATGCAAGCAGGCTAGCTGATAATCATACTGCCAGAAGTAAGTGGTGAGAGAAGCTCCATTTTATTTACAGCCCTCAAAGTCCATTCTTATCTTTGGACTTCAACCTATTGAGGTCAAGCAAGACATAACAGCATTTGATAGTACTGCCCCTCTTATGCAAAGTCAAAAGAGAGAAGGAGAGAAAAGAGGGCTGTATAAAAGTCACTGAACTCAAGCTATGACTGAAGAGGGATATTTGTGTTCCAGGACTAGTGACCCTCCAAAAGACAATCGGGGCAATTATCCCGCTCCTCAAGTAAGCATTAGAGTATATTTACCTCAGCTTCTGCTATTAGTTGCATTTTCCTTGTTATCACATGGTCGACATCAACCCGGCCTAAGGAAGGAAAGCAAATATTTAACAGTTGCATTTTCAGTGATGGGAGCTGCATGTCTGAAATCATAGAAAGCAAAACACACAATAGTACAGTCACTGATTTTTCCTTAGCATTTCTGACCTTTAATAAGGTCCCACTAAGTTCAAAACAAAGCTGCACTTAACTCATAAGCAATGACCAAGTATATTAAACAGACATTTAGGATCACAATACTGTAAGGCAGTCAGCAGCTGATAACACGCTGAATTTTCGAAAGCTCTATTTTCCATCAGCAACTCTGCAAATCTTCCCAAGGTCCCTAAACACATTCAACCTTGAAGCAGCAATTAGAACAACCCTTAGAAGGTCATATCCAAGCATGCTGATCTTTTATCAGAACTTTATCTTATGCACAGTGAACTAAATGCAAGATTAGGTTGTCTGGAGGTCTCTACATTGCCAACAGACGAGGCAGCCAAGTCACAACTATCTGTAAAATACCGTAGCCAGCTCTGAAGATAGGCTAAATGGCAAGTTGGAAGGTTGTTCCATGTTCAAACCTGGCTACTCCCACTCCTTTCATCCCCAGGAGAAGTCCTAAATACCAGTCTGACTGTATTCTTTGATATGCTTCATTGCTTAAGCAAACAGTCAGGTCTAACCATGCCATGAGCATCATCTGACTTTTATCATTATTAATACCACTGGCTAATATATAAAGCTTCAAATATCACTTTTCTTTTGCATAAAGAATTGTACACACTTAAGACTTTTTTTTTTAAAAAAAGGTACTGACTGATTTGTAAGTAACATTCCAGTGAGGCATAAGCTAACAGATCTGCAGTAGAGGTGCCAATGTTGTGCTGCTGTGTGACAAGACGACAGATTCATGGCAATATCACAGTTCATACATAATGCAGCCTTCTTGCCTTGTCCTCCTTGTATGTGCACAGCCTATGCACACAAAATATACAATGGGTTGTTTTAAATAGAAGCAAGTGCTTTCTGTGATGAAAGGTGCTCTTATGAACAATCAGTTATAAGAAGTTTAGTTAGACCTGCTTCAGAGATGTCGCCAAATCCAATACTGAAGTAGAGTGAAATGAAACAAGGGACTTTATCATTCATGAAGCTATGCTCAGTTGTCAGCATTAATCCCCCCCAGTCAAGTAGAAAAATTGTGAGTTGTTTGTTTGGTTTTTTTTCTGTAAAAACTGCTACACAAGTTATGGACTTGAGAACAGACTAGCAATAACAGCCTATTACTTAGCAGCCTTTTAATGCAACAAGCAGCAAGGAAATTACTTAACACCATGAATTTTTGGCTACATGCAAAGATCCATTTTCACAAAAACAGAACTCCTGGTTGCTAAGCATCTCACCCCCAAGACAAAGAAAATTACCTCAGCATTTAAGCTTATCATGCTGTTACACTTGTCAAACAGCAGCAGTTTGGAAAACAACTCAAGAGAGGAATGTCTAGAGTCCCTTGCTCCATTCAGCTCACACATTTTGCTGCTCTCAAATGGATTCTGTCCCCCTACACTAATAAATGTAAAAAAAAACCAAATCAAGTTGTTCCACAAGCAGCAGAATTGTGGAACATCTTCATATCTCAATGGCTCTACTCCCTCACTGTAACACTCCACACTTGTATTAGCAGCCTTCTCCTCCCATTACCACTATGCTAAGCAGTACCTTGTGTTCACCTGCTACAAAGCAGATGAGAGCCCTGCTGACCTCAAAACACAACTAAGCTTTTCCAGCAAAAGCTAAGAACTTGCATCTCTTATCCAGCTGCTAGTCTTCAAGACTGTCGAGTTTTCTTGAAGCTGTCCAACACGGCCAAAGAGGACAGGACATACAAGACTTAAGGGATTGCACTATTTCCTTTGAAAGCTAAGCTAAAAATAAATAGCCAATGCTTTGTCCATTTATTTCCTGTCAGTTCTTGCATGTGAAGCCTCAGTTGTGCCTCACTTTGGAAATAAAATCCCCTTTTTGGCTTACAAGGTCTTAAAAATGGATGTAGTTTTACAGTTACCTGATGTACAGCTTTAATAGTTGCACAGGAAACGAGGTCAGACTCTGACCCACTGACATTGCAATTGCTCAATTGTATGCAGTGTCCCTCCTATCACTTTATTCACCCACACACCAATGTGTATGCACATGGTAGACTAGAAACACACCATCTTTTAAAAGGCTCTAAAATAAAAATCTCCATGTCTTTAGCATGTGCTTCTCACATAACAAAAGTAAAACCACCTGTAAGCTTGTTGCTTCTTTTCCAGAACAGTCTCCTGTAGAAGAAAGCCCATCCCAAAACAACTCATTCTGCTGTGTTGCATCACCCCATAAACCCAAGCTGCGTCACAAGGCAGATAACAGAGAACACATAGCTCATCATCTTCTTGAACTGTTCATCTTCTGTTGTGCAAGCTGCTACTTATGTTCTGTGAAGTCATTTAAAAGAATCATCACATGATTTTGAGTCTAAAAGGAACTGTGCACTGCTGAGAAGTCCAAATCTTTATTTTCCTTTGAGCCTGAAAATGAAGACTGGATCCCTCTGTATCACTTTGGCATAGCAACATCGTTACAGAAATGGACTCAAGGTTGCACAAGACAAGCAAGCACATGTTATTTAAAACAAGATGGGATACGTCTTCAGAAAATGGGAAATATATTAAAGTAATAAGGAAGAAAATATTCTTTGAAAACTGGTATGAAAGAGTAGCTGATTTCACAGGAGACTGAAGCAGGGTATGCTTTGAAAGAGCTTTGCTCACAGGGAGAAGTTTTAACCTAATGGGAGTTGCTTTCCCTTCCCATTAGCACAGACATTGATAAGGTCTTAACCTAGCTGACCACTTGTCTTGGGCTCGTGGAAACTGATTCTTGTAGGATGCAACACCTCTGCACAGCGCAAACTCAAAGCAGGTTCAAAAGTCAGAAGGAAAAAGAAATGCGCAACTTAAACACAAGCTTTGCTTCCACAGAAATTAAGCTAATAAAAGATCACTTGAAGATTGAGAAAACATCTTATTCTTGAAAACTTGAGCAACCTCAGTTTCACAAAAGATTTACAAACTACCTTTCTTAAAGGATCTCATTGTCTCTTTTGTGACCTACTTTTGTACATGTACATTCATACCATGTTAGTGGTGCAGACTGGGATCCAACAAAAACAGCTTCTACATAAGACACCAGTCAGCACTCTACTAGGCAACCTCTCAAAAATTAACTGTGTTAAAAAGTATTCATTTTATTTAACCGCTACAGTCTGCAATTACCACCAAGGGCACTAGTGGGAATAACTCATTTGAGTAAGGCTCTGGGTTGCGTGCAGCATGACAGTTACAGCCTGTAGTGACTTCACCAGCCACAGAAGCTGCCTGCAGCCCAGCACTCTGAACTATTGCCTCTCAAACTGTGCCTGCACTGTGTCAGTAAGCTTATTATTGAGCAGTCAGAGCAACCAGGGAGACTACTGCTATCTAAATCCCTGCATGGCATTCAAGATAAAAACGCCTCTTTGCAGAAAAACACACAAGCAATCTTCAGTTTATTGCCACATACACTTCAAAAAACAGACACTTCTCAGAACAAGCAAGCACACCACTCGCAGTTCAGAAGCATTCTCTCCTAATGACGTCAACATCTGTTTAGCTTCAAGATCTTTGTGGAAAGTCACAGATATAAACTGTACCAAATACTGCCTTTCCCTCAAGGGGTTTAAAAATGTCATCTTCATTATTTCTTGATCGAACAACTTACCATTCAGGAGGTTAAAGCAACTTAGAAGGACTTCATTACTGTCAGATACCTGGACACAAAGGCTCCCTTTCTAAAAACACTGAAGATATTATCTGAAGGAAAGCAATGTTAAAGCCAACATAATGCATGGCTACTGTAAAGAGGGGATATTGTTCCATATCTGGTACAATACAACATACGCTAATAATTTGATTCTAATAAGCCTTATTCTGACTTATGGTAATTTATTTGGTCACTCAGCAGGTAGAGGGAAGTTACAAATAGATTGCTCCCACAGCTCAGCTGATCTGCTTTAAGGATGCACAGACCATACGTCAGTGCACTGCAGTTGGGCAAAGAATTCAGTTAAAAAGTCACTTCTGCAGGGAGGAAATGCCAGCATTGTCTACGTCATGCCACCATGTCCACAGACTCTTCACAAGGAACTGCTGGGACTTCACCCAATTCACAGATGGCAAAACATGAGATCACCTAGAATTACCAGAATACACCTAGTCTCAGACAAGATAGCTCCCTGAAACATATCCAGGAAACTCAATTCAAGCAGCTTAATCCCACATTCAGTAATCCGTAAGAAACAGCCTGTTAATACAATGAACACTTATTGCTGTGAGTCAGACAGTAAACGCTAAAGCTTTCCAAATCGTTCCCTGTTTCAGAGCTCCCTCCTCCTACATCCATCAGTAGGCACCCACAACTCATGCAGCTTTATGAACTTTTGCACTGAGAATGATCAATAGTAACCTCTTCATTGAAAGATAACCCCTTTCTAAGGCCAGCATTACCAAATTGGCTTACTCACACCAAACAAAGATATGACACATAGCTTGTTTGCAGACCAGTCTCCAGAGACACTTGTGTTAGTAGTGACTTCTTCTGAGGAAGCAAGGGCAGACACCACAACCATCAGTTTACCGTCCTGAATGGTCTAATCTTAGTATTTTAGAGGCACTCAGATACACACTGAAAAGCCATGTCCTCTCTGACATTTTAAGATCTCCCCGCACAGTTTCTATTACACCCATTCCAGGTAGGTTTTCCTGCAACTGGTACTGCCTGATATCAATATCACATTAAGCAGAACAGGTTTGTATTTATTTATGTATCTCCAGCTGAAAACACATAAGACTAGTCTTATTAAGGAAGCCTAGCTTTTGACAGGGATTATTGTTTCAAAGATCACCTGCTGACTCTATGGCAGGACCAAATTAGTTGCTTAATTATGACACCAGAGCAAATTCAAAGGAGGAGAAGCAATATAGGAGACTGAAGTTCAGCTACTCAGTCAAAGCGAAAGTACAGGCTAAATGATTACAAGATAGAACCACATCAAGGGACAGAAGAAGAATTCTGGCAATCTCAAAGCTATAAATACTTCAACCTAACTATAAATTTGGGGGTACCTGAGTACAAACTATGCAGTCTTAAAACTCAGCAAGCAATGAGACAGTTTTTAGCAGAATTGATACCATAAGGAAAATATAACCTAAACTATAAAAGAGTCAGATCTAATGTAGCTCTAAAGCCAATATATGGATTAAAATTATTCCTCCAAGCAATTTTGGATCAGCCAATACATTTGAGTTTTAACAAAGAAAGGATTAATGGCCTAGAAGTTTCTGTAGAAAGTTTACACACTTCTGGAAACAAGGCAATACACTCTTGACACATTAACTTTTGAGTTAAAAAGAAGATTGTGTTTGCTAATCAGGGAGGATCAAGCGTGGGAAATCACATTAGTAATTCAGGTTTTCTACAGAAACAGTTGCTAGAAAGACACTACATATTTAGTCACATGTCTTGACCTGGCTAGAATCCCTTGACTGGAAGAAACATGCATCTTGTCTAAAATTCAATGTAACACCCAGTGTTAAGATGTTAAAGTATAAAGAGAACGTTGTCAGACATAGCAGCCTCATGCCACCTGTGTATCCATCAGGATCAATGCCTTTGAAACAGTTATTCAGAAGTGAATGGCTAGGACAAAGGAAAGTGAGAAAAGAAGTGTATGACTACTTCTTTTGAGAAATTCTACCACCTCAGCTGAGCTTTCACAGAAAGCCCTACCTACTTACGCAAGCATACTGGACTACGTGAAGAGGCCACTATCTGGAACATGAACACCTCAGTGTTGTAAAGCTCCAACCTTTGTGCAACTGAGATGCTGATCTCACTACACTGTAAAGAGAAACTCCTGACCAGAGGGATGCATCTTCCTCCCAGGCCTATAATGTGGTCAGGCACCAGACTCGTATCTCCTACCTCCCTGTGGCTCTCCTGCTGTCCCCATCACTGTGCTGAGCAGAGTTCGCAAAAACTGGTAACACTTAAGTCTTTGTGTTTCACTACTGCTGAATTGACTGGAAGGTAAGAGGCACCTAGTCTTAACTAACCGGGATTCCTCCCTTGCTGTCCTTCACTGCTGTCTGTACTGTATTAAAACACATTGCATTGCTCTAAGCCAACCCACCATGCTCCTGTACACACAGGAAAGCTCAGTACACTTTCAAGACATCTGTCCCAGAATGTTTACTTGCCATGCATCCACAGCATCTCACCTGCCATTATGGCACATCTCATAGGTATTAAAATGGAAGACTTTTAAAAACAGGCACACCCACCTATCAACTGCTAATTATCACAGCTATATTTATTCCTTATCCACAAGCTTGCAAGAACTCAAATGCAAGCGTAACAGTTAAGGTGTTTCCATAGATAATATGGTAGAAGTCTGCTTCTAAACCCATCATAACAGTTTTCCAGTAGCTCCATGCAATTTTCTCAAAACAGCATTAACGGAACAGTCCCACTTGATTCAATTTAAAAGTTGGTACCACCGACAGCTTAAAATTCCAGTTCTCTAAGTAGTTTGTGGGATGGCTCTCCCTTCAACATACTTTTCGCAAGTAATCTGACTTGTCCAAAACTTAAATTTGCTCCAACTCCTGTTTCAGCTGAAAGAAGTACTAGAGAGTAGTGACAATATTCAGAAGCATACCAGTATGAATTATTTCCTTGAGTCTGGCACCAGAGTTTTGGAACTTACATAACACGTTGTGATAAACTAGTTTAGCTATTCGCTTATTCTGTCTCCCAGATCAGAAGGAAACAAACTGCAATTTCATTGCTAACCTCCTTATCACCAGGCTGGGAACGTGGTACAGCATAACCCAGGAATTAGAGCAGTCACAGTGTCCGCAGAGTCTACAGACAAAACCACTCAAGCAACCACACAACTGTTCCTCCAACTCAAGGGACAGGATGTAGGCCACTTTCACAAAGCCACTATAAGCCACAGAACTTTTAAGGTGATGACAATATAAATGAATGCAAACCCAACAGTTTCTTTTTCTATTTGATGGCAGCCAAGCTTGAAACTGGACAGAAGGGGGCTGTTCTGACATTAACAGAAGCAGAGGATCATTCTTTGTGGCATCCTACCTCCATCTGTCTGTCAGGATGGATACACCAGCTTAGTTGGGTATGTTAAAAACCATTTTGTTCAGATTTCAGGAAGCCGTGTACTAAAAGCTTGTAGAGGAAGCAAGATGAAGTCCCCAGAAAAAGCATTTACCTGGGCTACTCAAAACTTGTCATTTGCACCATTTACATCATTAAAGCTTCTCCCCCTCATCCCACACATTTGTCCTGTAACAATTGATCACTGTAAGCACTGCAGTACACAGCCCCTGAGGGAAAAGTTCTGCAGGACAGCACTCCAAGTAGCCTAAACCTGCAAAAGAAGAGGAGCTAGTACACAGGGAACTCCACCTTGGGAGCCTTCCTATGAGCAAAAAAAATTGAAATGAAAGAGGAAAGAGGCAAGGGGCATGAGCTAGAAAGGACATCTTAGAGGAGATCACGTGCCAGAGATGCAACTAATCCCAAGCATAATAAACTCACCATTGCTTGAGTTTTGAAATGACCTCTCGTTCTCAGGTCTTCTCTGCGCTTCTTCATTCTCAGAGGTCTTGTAGGTTGCAGTGGAGCCAGACTGGCGTTTTCTTACACAGTCTTCACCTGCCATTGTTGCCTAACAAGACCACAAAAAGATAGCAGATAATTAATGACAAAAGAAATCAATTGCCTCTTTACATTGTTCAAGAATAAATTTGCTAGCCTCTTCTCTCCTTAAGTTAGACTTTCTTCCCTCCACCATGAATTCAAAGCAAGGCTAGGGGAAAATCAAGCACATATTTTTATTAGTCATTTACTGTGGATCACACTTCCTCTCTTTTACTGCAAGCAGTAAAGGAACAAAGTAACCAAGCAAGTTCTCTCACCACTACAAAAACATCTCCTTACAGCCCTCTCCTTTCCCCTTCAGACCTTCTAAGCATTTAAAATTACTTAAGACTTTGTGCAATCTTTAAAAGTCCAAAAAGCCCTTGAAAATGCTTTCAGATAGTTAGTCCAACAGCAACATTCGTCTTCCCAGAGATCTGGCAGGTTTGGTTTGCAGAATCACCTGCATTATTTTGCCTGAGCCAAGCCGCTTCCTGTCAAGTTTTCAGTTCTTACTGAAAAAGCAGCTTCCTCAATAGATCCTTGCCTGGCCAGACAACGGTTGCAGTGCAAACCACGGGAAAACAGGAAGAATCAGGTTTATACTGCACCACATTCAGTGACAAAGGTCACTGCCGGGGACAGAGCTGCCAGTAGGGAACACCTGAAGCACTACAGCCAGGCTGAAAACAGAAAATTCTCAAAGAAAAGGGGGAGAGGGGATTCTAATTCACTCATGAAGCAACATTGCAGCGCACTCCCCATGAAATTCAGCTCAAGAAGCTCTGAGATGTAGCTACAACTAGGGAAAATATTCAGTCTTCCAGAAAAAACACATAGGCATGTATGTGACCACATGTTCTAGCTAACGCTTCCCCTTTTTGAGAGAATTTTTCACCTCGGCACAAACTCTTAAATAGACATGTGTTTTGTTGCTAGTGAACAGAATACATGAACCAGAACAGATTAGCTGTTAAAGACAGGCAAGGAAAATTCATGCAGCTATAGAAAGCTAAGAAGGCAGAATAGAATTATTTAAGGATTAATTTCCTCAGAATACTGAGGCTGGCACTTTTGCAAAAGAGAAATAACATGTTGAGGCATTTTCAGGCCTCAGCTTCCTGTGTTTGTCCTCTAGAAGAGCAGTCTCCCACTCACCTTTCAGGCATCACAGCATATAAGGGAAAAAAAAAAAACCCTTTTGCAACACCAAACAACAAATCACTAATTCAATCACTATTTCCTGCAGCACTGCCTCTGTTAGCTCCCTGTGTCTCAAAAGATCACAGCCAGGTCTACAAGCTATAAAACAAAGACCATAAATACTATAAACTTGCCAACTGGCTTTGTACAACATCTGATACCTCACACTATCATAATTTACATAATGAATAGAAAAAAATACAGGCAAGAATACAGTGAACCTTCCTACAGTAACTATGCTCACCAGCACTAAAATGCAGTTAGCAGGACACATCCACTTCTACCAGCTCCATACACAGTTACTGCTGCAACCCTCCTCAATATCCCTCTCGCCTTTTAAGACAAATTGGTCACCATCATGAAGACATTTACTCTTTCTGCCTCCCAGCCTTCTCATGAAGTTCCCAGTACAGACATGGCCAAATGATGCAAGCTTGAGAGCAAAGGGTCATTTTGCCCACCTGAGGCTTACAATCAGGTAGAGATGCTGGACAGGTAAACATTTCAATCCTCCTGCTCCTACAAAAGGGAGATGCCCAAAACCCTCTCAAGGGATAAGAATGGATCTCTCTGATCATGCAATAGGTTCCTCACAGCAATGAAGGGGGGGGGGGGCGAAATCAATGAATTCATGCACTAAAGTTATTCCTAGGCCACTAGCAAGCCTCACCACTGCCTTCTGATCCAAGTTAAGCTGTTCTTGTGAGTCGCACTGGTCCTTAAAGGTGCAGGTCTTCCAGCTCTAACAGAAGACAACAAGCTTAGTTCTTTTCTCAGTACACTTTTCAACTTCTTCAAAAGGTGAAGAAGGCAATGCTTCTTCTCCAGTGCAAGGTGGTTAGAGTACCTGACTGAAAGGCTAACAGAAAGGAGTTAGTGTTTCAGGTTGGAGAAAGGAAAAACCACACATGGGAGGAAAAAAAAAATACAGCAATTAACTTCTGTAATTCAGACAGGCTAAGTGATCACAACAAAGCCTTTTTTCACATCAAAACAATAACTGTGCTGAGGGAAATTATCAAAAAAAACTCAAAACACTTTCCTACTCTAGTTTCCATATGGGAAGTATAACGCTACAGTACCTAAGCAACTATCAGCACACCAGTGCCTAAAGAAGGCTTCAGACCTTCCCTCTAATCTCTGCTAGAGCCACATCAATCATGATACAATGTCACATTAAGTTCAAAATGTTCACTACCGCCTTCACTAAAGGAAACTGCCCCTCACAATTAGTCAGCAGCCACTTCTTTCACCCCACTCTGGGCAGCTGCAGGACATCTAGAATCACAAACGCATCCCATTATCGAGTTTCCCAGCAGAAACTCCCCGATTTTATAGGCATGACTGCATTATGGCACTTGTAAAAGGTCTCAGAAACTTTTCGTTTCTCCATCTTCCCTTTCGAAACACTGGTAATTACAAGCATCCCTTAGAAGAAAAGCAACACCCTGTAGAAGTACATTTTCGCATTTCAAAAGGCTTGGTAACACAATGAGGGCACATCGCCTACCTCCAGTACTGCCTTATGCTAAATAACCTTTATACCAAATACCCTGCAAACCCTTATGCTAAATACCCTTTATACCAAACCCTCCGAGGTTTGCCTTTGCCCTTGGCCATAACGTTAACAGGCAGACCTGGCGTGCTACATCCCCGCTACCAGCAGAGCTCTTCCCGAACCAGGCAGACACCCAAAGAAAGTTAAGGTCATTCCACAGCTCGTCCACAAGGTGAAAAACACTCAGCAGGAGGAGAAAAAAGAATAAAAGACCGAAACCTGTAGATAACAATGGAAACTACTTAAAGCAGTGCCGAGACCATGAAGTCAGCCCCCTTCTCCACTAACTCCCTGCAAACAACAGCGGAAGTGTGACACGGTGGTGCCCGCGGTCAGCCACGACACCCACCCC